TTAGAACTCGGGGTCAGTCGGTCGCACAACAGCACGGACAGAACAACAGACTACGATGCGACGAGGTTACCAGATGGTGAAAGCTGATTAAAGAACCAAAAGATCTCAGTGTCGTCTGTCCACTGCAACGCATCTACACTGTGAAGTGACACCTCCATGACCCAGTGATCTATATAGGATGGCTCTCTAGGGCCGGGGATCTAATCACACCCGGAAGGTTAATGTAAAGAGGTCAGGGAAAAAACAGTCTCACGGACAGCTGATTGAGCACCAGCTGGCTTTTCCTTTTGCCATTCAGGATTGTTGCTGAATACGTAAGAAGGGCTTCTTACTAGGTTGCAATGCGATGCCCATTGAGCCTACATTTTGTANNNNGTAGCACTCGAGGCAAGTCGTCGTAGAAGTCATCATCAGGTAATTTATACGGATACGAAGAGTGGTCAGCACCGTTTTGTTTTGTTGCTATTGCCTAGGACTGAACCATTGAGATGTACAGCGTAAAGTCGGATACTGACTGGGCTCCAATTCAGAAGAACACGTTCAGCCTTGATAGTGCAATGGCGACGCCAGCAACACAGACGTTCCATCGCCTGAAGCACGAAGAGTAATGTGTGACAATAGGGTAGGGTCTGAATAACACAGTGTGTTAACTGAAGTAGGGTTCTTTGTGAGTGTTTCGAAGACAAAGCATACTTCTCCATTGGTAGTTTCAAGGGTTCTAGCTGAAGCAGTTTGTCGATTGATCTCATGTTGTGCGGAACGGGAATGTAGCTCGGTGAGATTTTGGGATCATCAATCTAACCGATTTCTCTTGCTATTTAAAATACAAGTGATATTCCCTGAGTGGGAATGAGAGGAGGTACAGACAGATGAAAAGGGACTTTCCAAGCAGGTGCCTGAGGCTTTAGGACACAAAACATTTCGTGGTAGTTCACGCAAGCATAGAGATATTCTCTTCGGCAAACCTCATCGGAGCCTTCAACTCAAAAGTCTGACAAAAAGGCAGTGGAACGTAAGCCCAACGCAGGTGTGTGATCGGAGAACGCATGCTGGAACCTCTATAGACCTTTTATGTGGGACCTTGGAGTTTTGCCGTTTGTCTCAAGCACCTAATGAGACAAGCGGAATGTGGATGCAAGACTATTTTACTTGCTCGAAGCTGTTCACCTCCCAGCTGACGAAAGTTGTCTAATGAAGCACGAAGAGTACTCCCGTTGAGCAGAAGCCCCAAGTTCCCCGCTGCTAAGTTAATCCAGCGGAGGTTCTGACCGATAAACTGCTCCACCCCGTGCTCATTTGCTGGAGTGTCCTCTGCAGAGGAAATGCAAAAGTAAATGGAAAAAAATATAAACAAATTGTAATCCAATAAAATATACTTTTATGATTTCACCAAAGTTTGATTACAATCAAAATGTTTTGATCGAAAAAAGAGGGTCATCAAAAGAGAATCAAACCCGTTAACCACTCACTGTGGACTTTGTATTATCCGCAAGTTCATCGCTGGTCAGTTTAAGTCCCTCTTCTCTACCGACCAAAAACACATTCGAACCAAGACGTGCAAGCGAGTGTGCAATGGATTTCCCCAAACCAGTCCCACTCCCCGTGATGAAAGCAGTTCTATTTGCAAAAGTTCCCGGGGGCAACATTTGGCTGGATTTCGGTTGGAATGCATCATACTTATCGCCAGCGGTTGTGGAAAACGTTTCGGATACTGAAGCTCCCGAAGGTGTGAGACGGGACAGTTTCCAGTATCTCGTCCCACATGACCATAGTGATCGCATGACAACAACAGGGGCAAATTGCTATCCGGGAAATTATAGCATTGACACCTGAAATGAAAAATGCACGGTTAGATAGAAAACGAAACTGGAAACAAAATAACCCGTAGATAAAAAGATTGCGGGGGCAAGGAAGATGATTATTTGTAATTTTACTGATGATCAAAAAAATCTGTATTTGTCTAGTGTTGGGAGCCATGGAGATTCACAAAGAAACGTTTGCAATATCTATCCTAGTGTTGTTTCTTCAAATTTTCAACTACTGAATATAGATTGCCCAAATGACAACTGAGATCCTTGAAACTCTCAACAAGCAGCCTGAATAGACTGATCAAGATCAACAATGGCAAACACCTATACGTTTCTCAGTGTGAAGAAGCTATAAACGGGTGGGTGAGCAACTGGGGGCTAGTTTTATTTTCCAATACACACTAAAATACAGGGAAATGGATAAGAGGCAGTAATCCTAGTAATTGTCTATCACACTAGTCATGTCACAGTACCATTCGCTGATTTATATGGCGTTTTTCGATGAGCCTGTCTGGCAAAACCCTACCACATATTCGACCATTTCAGCCGGTTGTCCACGGTCGCTTATTCAATGAGCCACAACCCGCCCATAGGGCTAGCAACTCATTCGTTCATGGTTTTCGCACCACTGACCGGGTAACAGACAAAGTGGCATGTAGCTTCTCTGCATTCTCCGTGGGGATAATTCCGTTTCCTGGAAGGATCCTCGAAGAACCTTTGTAACATGATGTAAAGTGACACTTCCGGTATGCATTTCTAGAATCTGCATGGCCCATTTCTGCACGTATGGTAGCAGGATAACTGCGAAGACCTTATTAAGTGACCGTTTTGAGGCGAATAGATCACGATGTGTTCGACCGACATTTTGCAATGAGAAAACTAGCCATGTTATCGGATATTGCTGCATACACAACCAAAAAATATTTCCATACTGCATCGGTCGTCGCGCAGGATAACCAGGACCGCGCTACCCATTGATTGCATCGAGCGGGGTAGGTAGTGATAAATGGGCTACTGCTCAGATATCCCAACCTTTGCTGAACTCTTTGTCTTCCGTACCCAACCCTCCGTTTACCCCTTCTTCCAACCCGTAACATTCCCTCAGACAACTTGTTCGTCACTCGCCA